ATTGGACCATATTTTTTATATGAATTGTGGTTAATTTTGGAGTACTCGTTGGTCCTTAGGGAGTACTTCTTACACGCATGCATGGAGTAGTCGCGATTTTTGCAGGGTAGTCAAACTACTCATTTATGCCGTACTACAAAAACAAAAGTGTAAATGTGTGAGAATTTTTGCCTAAAGTGCTCAGCAATGTCTTGTAGGGCTAAATGTTAAAGAGAAGCGCTACTGTTAGTTCTACATACATACATACATATGCGTATGTGTATGCGTAGTGTTTGGCTTCATGCATGCGTTAGTATTGCCGGCATGCGCTGGAAAATGAACGAGCGCATTAACTTCGTTGTTAAGGTGGCGGGCGGTATGCATTTTCATTGAGAATTTCCTCTAAGTCGGCGAGAGAGTTCGCAAAAGTATTGTGTTGCTCTTTATCACATATATACACCCTCACATGCGCGCCAAGAAATTAGTATGTTTGTATATGTATACTTAAGAGCGACTGTTTTGCCTACACATTTAGATTGTTTGAATTTGTTTTGTTTGGTTTTTGACTTGTTTTGACGATTATGAGATTTTGACTCTGGGCTGGCGCTGTACTCATTTCCAATATACTCACTGCTTCTCTTTTGCTAACTGTTACACGTATGTACATATATATGTACGCGCACTAACACTTATAGGAATTGAGAAATAATACAGTTAGTTTTAGTTGTATTTGTAATTGCATTTGTATTTGTAGCACCTAAAGCAACCTCAACAACCGCCACCGAAACTGAAACAACATTTTATAATGTTACGTAAATTCTTCTTTTCCAAACATTTCAGAGTTCAAATACGGCGCTGAAGTCGTCGGAAGCGGACGTAGCAACGCAAAAACTCCCAACAGCTGGACAAATTGGCCACCGAAATATAGTTTAGACTACAACACACTTCAATGACAAACAACTGACTGGAATACTTAGTTCACAATAACAACAACAACAACAAATGTGTGATGCTGGTTAAATAATTGCTAAATAGTAAGAATGTGGTTAGAAAAATGCTAGCAGAGTGACAAAAGAATTATGTAAATATTACGTAAATTCGAAGTGAAGAAATATTTCGTTTGCACGCGAATTTATTAAAGCTACATATGTATTTAATTAGCTGGTTTTGCTACATTCTAAATAATTTTAAAGTAAAAAAAGATTTCGAGAACAAATTCCAGGAATGCAAAAAAAAAAAAAATACAAAATTTTGTTAGATCAATTGGCTGTATCGAAAATTCAAATTAGGTATTTGGTTAACATTTTACGTAACTGTGCGATTTTTTTTTATTTTTGTTTTGCTAAGAAAAAAGCCAAATAGTGTAGATATTCAAAATATTTACTGAGCACCTCCAGCAGCCAACCAGTGTTTGCCAGGCGCGTCGTAATTCAAAAAAATTTTTGATAAAATATTGGTGAAAGATTTAAATAAAGAAATTTTAAATTCTTATTTTCTTTTTCTCAACAGCGGCTACAAACGTGAAAATTTTTTCCAATCAGCACTACAATGAAAAATTGTGCATAAAAATTTTCGATAAAAGAGGAATCCATGAATTTGTGAATCTGTGAAGTGAAAAATTTCTGCTTACTATAAGGAGCAGCAAACAAGCTAAATTCTTGCAGTGAAAAGCAACAAATAATGTCAAAAAGTGCCACTGAGCAATATCAAATCAAAAAGAAGCGAAAACACAACAAAAACAAAGCAAGTAGCAACCAAGTGAAAAACACAAACAAAATCTCTAAAAATCAAATTAAAATCAATAACAATAACAACAAATACAAAGTGTACAGTAACAACAACAAAAATCCAATCATTACTGGCGGCGCTTTAATAAAACAATTAACGCTCACTGAAATTTGCCTGCAGCAGCAGCAGCAACAACAAAACCAACATCAATTTACTTTGCCACACAACTACAACGGCATAAAGTTATTGGCATATCCAGAGCAAGCAATTGTCCGCATCGCCAACGTCGAGAACGACGTTGTTGTGACGCATCTGTGCGCGCAGTGCAATAACCTCCACGTGAACACCGCCTCCGCACGGCAGTGTTGCATACGTGACCTCGCTCGGGTGGTGTTACCCCACAGCGCGCACACAAGAAAGCACAGCTACAACAGCGACATCAACGCTAGCGCTAACAACAACAACAACAACCGCAATCTTTTCAGTACAAGCAAACGCAAAGCCAGCTGCAAAATGCCACTTTCGCAAGGCTTATCCGCCAAAGTGTGCGGCGGCGCCGTGAAGCGCACCGCCGCCAAGCCTGCGCTTCCCCGCCAAGTGGAGGCGGCCAAGCGCAGCAAATCCGCCACAGCGGATCGCTTCGCGCATCTCAATCCGCAACACCATTTGCATGCGCGCCAAAATTACAGCAACGCCGCGAACTACAGCAATAAGTGCGTTAAGGGTAATAACGGCAAATTTGCCGCTGCATACAAACCCGCAACAGCATTAGGATCCCATTCGCAACTTTTAGCCGCTGGTGTAAATTACGCGCCCGCTATCGCGCTCACGCCCAGCAACAATTTGCAGTTTTACTATCTGTTGGCCGAGTCTCTGACGCGCTACGGCAGCCTACTGGAGGCCTTCGATGTCTACGCATTTATCGCCAGCGAGCAGTTGGATAGCTGCATACCGCTGGATCGTCTCAATACATTCGCGAGCGCACTGATCACGTACGTGCGTCAAATGGGCGCGCAATCGGAAGGAACTGCTACGGAAATAGTTGCGGCAGCAGCACAGGGAGTGAGAAATTTCTCCGAAAGTACTGCGCTCGAGTCGGCGCTGAAAGCGAAGTATGCGCGCAACGCGGCCAGCTGGAGTGGCGCCGCAGGTGGCGTGCTATGTGGTGTCACCGCCAACACGCCGCCGGTGCCGGATGCTGTAGTTGGCGCGGGACTGTCGGACATGCATTCGCCTACGCGAGAACTATTACGTGTGCCAAGCCCGACGCAGAGCCAAGATTATGATCCGCTGCTTTGTCCGCTCTGCAGCGACATTTTGCGTTGTCCGGTGACCACAAATTGTGGCCACACTTTCTGTCGGCAATGTTGCGAAACCATAACGCAGTGCAATATTTGCCATGTGAAGTTTCCGCGCAGCAGTCTGGACGACTTCGTATCCGAGGTATCGAGTGGCATTGCGCGCAACTATACGAATACGTCCAGCACGACACTCACAACGCTTACAACGGCAACAGTGTTCTCACCGTCGATGGGCGTAAGCTCTGCATCCACCGCAAACGCATACATAATGCCATCCACAAGTGCTGGATTGTCAACAGCCGCTAATCCTACAGCGAATGTCAACCGAAATGCGGCTATCTCAGCTGCCTCGGGCGTTCGTGCAATGGCGCCGAGCAGTGATAATCCTTTGCTTATGCGACGCTTGCAAGCACGTAATATTGCGGCCGGCAGTAGCGCAAGCTTCGGAACCACTGTTGCACCAAGTCGTTTGCAACTGACGCCAGTGGCCGCGCCGCTACCCACAGTGACGACAGCGACCGTTGCCTCAACAACGGCTACAGCCACTACGACTATGGCGTCTTCGACATCCGGTGGTGGTGGTGGTGGTGGTGGTGCAGCTGCGGCCTCAATAGTTGGTACGGCAGTAAATATGAAATTCATGCCGGACGTGCTGGTGCGTCGTCTGGTGGAAAAGTGGTGGGGCGCCGACCTGCAGGCGAAGAAGAATAACGAAACCGCGGCCAGCTACATGCACATGAACTTGCTCGACGACGCGTTGAAATTCTGCAATGCCAGTTTAGAGAAATGTAAGTAGAAGACAAGTTAAATAATGCTTTTATGTTTTTATTTCAAAATAAAAGCTTTTTGAGTCAGTGGACATTCCGTCGGCTTTAAGGGAAATTTACAGAAATAAGTATCAGACTCTATTAGAGGTCATACCGAAATAAGTCCCTATATCTCATTTGAAGCCATTTCAGAGAGCCGTGTGCGCCAAATCATCTAAAAGCTTTTTGTACTATTTAAATAGGGCGGGCAGAGAATTACAGATTTCGCTGTCAAATACTGGCCCACATAACCGCCGTCCAAAAAAAAAAACTTTGTTCGTTACTAAAAATATTTTAAACACCAAAAAAGCCCGTGAAAGAAGCTTTTTAAAGCCATCTGTCGGTTTTGCATTGGCGGGCATAGAGTTAAATCTCTCTCTGATCGTCTTGGTTATAAAACACTTTATTTAGGTAAAAGTTTTCTGATTCAACGAACGTAGCTTTCAAAAGAAGTTTTGTATAGTGCCTATAGGTAAAAAAAAATAACTAAAAATATGAGAGCTTTTGAAAGCTTTTTATGTAATTCCCACATTAAAAGATTTTGAAAACTAAGAGTTATGAGTAAAGCCAACATAAAGCAAAGCAGAAAAAAAGTCTTTACGGCTGAAAAGAGCTTTTGGAATTCTTTTTATTTCTTAACTTAAAAAAATACAAGTTTCCGTAGCCAAATACTTATAGACATACATACGTAAATAACTGCTGATAATAATCGGCAAACAAATACCTCAAATCAACAAGTTCCAAGAAAAAATTTAAATTAAAACTTTTCACAAAAAAATGAGCTTAAAGAAAATTACCACAAAAGTGTGCGAGCGGGATTTCCTAATTCGTATAAAATAAATGCATAACTAAAAGCTCATCAATCACTTGGTGTTGTTACAGGTTACACAAATGTGAAAAGTGAGCGTAACATATTGTGCAAGAATATTTGTTTATCATTGTCGCTTTTGTTGCTTTTGCTGTTTATCGCGCTGTCTCTGTTAGTAAGTAAATATGTATGTGCATACTTGTGCGTATGCTTCACTGATTATACACAAATGCAATAAAAAAATGCAAAAATCGATAAATAGATACGCAAAAGTGCTCGCTGTGATGCTGCCCGCTTTTGCTGTTGTTGACAGTTTTTGCTGCCGCATTGCTGTGCTGATTTTGCCGTGGTTGCTTTATCTTTGTTTTTTGTTCAGATGTGGGTGACGTTCTTTTTCTTTTTCTTGTTGTATTTTATTGTTTTTACGCTATGTGCATAACATTATGTGGATGCCAAAGCCGCCCACAATGTCAATGCTGATGTCATAACGTACACAGCCAGCTAGCTACACATAAGCAAGCCAAGCCAAGCCAAGCCAAGCCAAGCCAAGACAAGCCAAGCCAAGCCAAGACAAGCCAAGCCATGTCAAGCCACCCATCCAGCTAAATATGCTTCGTTCAGTTGGCAGCAGCGTCGAGCAACAAGTTACAAATACTTGCAGTACTTGTATGCTTTGAGGTATTTAGTTCTGGCAATGGCAAGCGATAGTGATTGGGTGGGTAGGTTCACAAGGCGCAGCAGTTGAGCGCAACCGTTGCTAAAAAAAAAAATCAGTGATCGTTATGCGTCTTCTGAACTGTCAAATTCAACTCTCAAACGTACACACCAACATGTTGTCTCAAATTATCCGAAACGAATCATCAGAACGTGCAATCGCAACAGTTACTGAGCTGTTGCGCCTTCTGAAGGTGTCGATTGATAAAAAGTGCAGCCTATTTGCTGGTTACGTGTTTTGCCAATTTATCGTTTAGTAAAATATACATACATATGTATGTATTACTCTTCTTCCTCTTTGAGCTAAATGTTCTTTATTTTTATACAAATTTATTTTATATTTCTACATAAATATTTGCCTTATCCACAACTTATGTATATATAGGAACACCAATCACTTGTAGCTCCACAGCATATGCAGGCGCACATATGTATTTTGGTTTCCATATACATACATATATATTCGTATAAAGAGTTGTTATATACTTTTGCGCTATGTATGCTGTAATTGACCATAAATATCTCTCGCCTCTAGGTCAGTATGGAGTTGTGTTGAGCAATAAAAATTCTAGTCCGCCGCGCAGTGTCTGAAATTTACTACATCCTTGTCAAATACAAATACAAGCATATACATACATACATATACGTATATATGTTTATTCATATAAATGTGTACAGTGAAAATTATTACCTTGTACAGCACAGCAAATATGGTTGTACTCTCCTTGCTGTTATGTCAATAAGGGAATTTTCGAAATTGGGCTTCGGTAATGGCATTCGTTTCTTGGTGCCATCTAATAGAATAAGATCTGCCATTAAAAATTCACGAACTGCCCGCCTTGACATGGAATTTCCCTTTATGTAGATATGTGTATGCGTCTGTGTGCATTACATAAGCTTGGCATATCCAGCAGCATTTCCGACAAATCCTTGGCCATAGCGGTGAGTCCGTGTAGTCGCTGTACTGCAGTGTGGCATGTTTCACGTTAGTCAAGCCAAGCGAGTGTGTTATGAACGCAAAGGCTGGAGCGTAATGCCGCAATGGAGGTACAATGTCATGCGACCGCATGTCTGTTACTAGTAAACGCGTACAATCTATAGATACAGTAGGGTGTCCCAAAACATAAGGAACATATTTTTAATAAAATTTGATATACATACATAATATCTTTACGTACTTATTACTGCGCCTTATCCTAAGAAGGAATCCCTTATGTTTATTTATTTATGTATTTTTAGGAATTTTTTTTATTGAAATACAGTTCATTCTCTAACAAAACCCATCCATACATGTAAGCCCAAGTATAAAATTTTGAACAAAACTAAAAAAAACAATAACAAATTTTCGTGCAAATTTCAAACATTTTTCTTAGTAGTGTTAGCATTTTCTTGAGGATGAAGTTTCATATCCCATTCAATTTCGGTGCAATAAAGAGTAAGTTTGGAGCGGCAAAAAATTACCGTTGATATTTTAGATTTGTTTTTTTGCCGAAGGTGTGCGGTTTTTTTTCCATAAAAAAAATTTGCTGTGTTTATTCGTTATATGGAAGCAAAACGGACAAAAAAATATCAAACTCAACGGTAGTTTTTCGTCAATTGAAACGTATTACACTGAAATTGAACGTTCTTAAAAATTGCTTACTCAAAAATGTTCCAACACTTCTAAGAATGGATGAAAATTTGCAGATTTTTTTTTAAGTTTTCTACAAGATTTTAAATTTGAGTTTTGTTAGAGAATGAACTGCATTTCAATTGAAAATTCTTAAAAAGGAATAAATAAAAATGAGTGGCAAACAATATTACTTTGAAATGGCGTGCTATTGATATAAACGATACTGTAGATACATATTTTTATTGGTCAATGATGACGATAACCTGCGTCTATTCGATATCGAACTTTAAAAGAATGCCACAAAGTTAACTAGATTTTCCGCGGCGGTAGTTTTTATAAAGAAATAGTCCACCTTGTTGGCGAACTTCGGTAGAATGGCTGCATTGCTAGTCGATCGATTTGCTCTGTAATGGGCTCTCACCAATTATGTGTAAAATTGACGCTGGCCTGTTGGTAGGGGATGTATCGCAATCTTAAGGCTCTCAGGCGAGCTTTTGGGTGACTTCATCTATCGTATCTTATAAGAACTCCACGGCCTTTCCGTATGATGCCATTTCGAAGTCGAGAATTATTGACCTTACCCGTCGAATGCCTTCTGGCACATTCACGAAGTAATACGCCGTGATTTGACTCACTCTCAATCGGTGTGGCTAGATGACCGCATTAAGGTGAACTCGAGTAAAATCTTTAGCCCCACAGCAGGTAATCAAGCTGGCCCTATGTCCTTTCGCAATCCCGACTTGCTACACTTTGGTGAGAAGACCTTGCCTGTACCAAGGATTGGGGGTACTTTAGTGCTAATACATATTTGTTTCGTAGTTAGATTTTGGCTGCGCCAGCAGATTTCGGCGGTGCAATAGCTCCAATTGAGAAGAAGTTTCTGGCTCTAATTGAGAAGAAGTTTCTAGCTCCTGTCGACGTTTACGAGGAGCGCCGAACTCCTGTTTTGTGGGTGTGGTGGTTTAATTTATTTTTATTTTTTTGAAATATTATTCTCTGGGATTTGAGAGAGGTGGCCACCACAAGAAGTTGTCTCATTCTTGGACACCCTGTATATTATTAGCCATATGCATAGATAGAAATAGATACATATATGGCATGTGTGCTGAACATTTTTTCACACAATTTCAAATTCATTTAAGTGTCAAGGATAAGCGTTGGTTTAACTGCTGTCCCATATATTTGTACATACATACATATGTACGATACATTAAAATTGCAAGTATGTACATATTGGCAGTACAGGTGGCGGCCATCAGTACAGCCATGCCACTATTCGTTATTTCAGCTGTAACATTCATTATTGCGTAAATGATTCTGCTGTTTCTGATTCATCAAATTGTTGGCGAAATGCACTGTTCAAGTTGTTGTTTTTATTTCACACCACACAGAGAAGCTTTTAGATCACTTAATAATTCAAATTACCTGTCACCTCGACGAATATTCAAACATGTATGTAGGTATAAATGTACATACATACATACATACATACAGATATGTTTGTACAGTCAACTGCGTCAGTTAACAATGTGATGACTCGTAGCTTTTAGTAAATTTAAACTCATTTGTCATTTCGTGAGCGCGCCGCAACTGGGAAGCTTAATAACTTAATCTTGTACAATAATCGCATCAGCGTGACTGTCACTCATACGCCTGGTGGTGCCAGTTGTTACACACACACAAATAGTTCAGCAATTATGTACATACAAACATAAATGTGTAAATTTCTATTTAGACACTGCACTAAGTGGACAACTTGCTAAGAAGTGCCTAAAGATAACCGATAATGCTAGAGCTGGCGATATCGATAGCAAAAGCGATAAAAATAAAAGTATGTAGCATTAAAAA